AATGTGTCTGACAAGTGGGTGGGGGCAAAACTGGGGGGAGTACCTGGGTGGCAGTGGCATCAGCGGGCAGGGGCTGCTGCCTTCTTTCCTTTCCTTTCCTTTCGGGCTCCCGGAGATGTTCAATATGTGTGAGTGCAGGGAAGCCCTGCTCCAGGCTGGAGGACAGCATTTAAGTCAGTAAAAGGGTAGGCTAGAAGGGCAGACATTTTGGGGTATTTCGGTATTTCAAATGGTATTTCCAGGAAAATGGATATCATTCTGCTCAGTATTTACGGTGTAGAGCTCTGCCCAATTTTCATTTCATTGTAAAATTATTTATTCTGTATTTATTAACTGTTGCAGACAGACCTAGAAATGGTCACTGAAGACCTTGCACAGAAAGTGAACAGGCCTTACCTTCGGACTCCTCGCCATAAAATCATCCGTGCGGCTTGTCTTGTGCAGCAGAAACGGCAAGAGTTCCTGGCCTCTGTGGCCCGTGGTGTTGCTCCTGCAGACTCGCCAGAAGCGCCCAGGCGCAGGTAATCCAAACAAAATATCGCGCAAGTCAAAAAAGTTCATTGATAGCTGCCGAAGTGGGTGAATCCACTGTCTTTCTTTGACAATGAGGTAAAATGGAGCTCATAAACGTGGTGGTTGTAAATCACCAGATAGTGACATTTTCTTGGACATCTGATCCTTGTGGAATTACAGCTTTTCGCTGAGGAAAAATGCATTTGAGAATCACAGCTCTGTATGTTGCAGCCTAAATTGCTTCCCCATTTGTGATATATTAATGATTAGATGTCGTGGCTTCCATTTCACTTTTTTCCTTCAAGATTGTCACTAAATACCTGGTACACTCCAAATATCTATAAGTATTTGCTAAAAATAAAGCAAGCAGTTCTGGAATAGTCAACAATTTAATTGTATGGTTTTCTAAATGAATTTTGAGGTAAGAATTAAAGCAGAAGACTTGTTAAGTTTAGAGAGATACAACTGCACTACTTTTTAGATGTTGATAGGTTTTTGAAGCTCTGGAGATTATTCGTACTTTGTTCTACTCCTAAACTTTATGGTATATCTTTTCATTTTGTAGCTTTGCTGGTGGAACATGGGATTGGGAATATTTAGGATTTGCATCCCCTGAGGTAAACTATTTCTTTTTATTTTTTTAACTTAGTTCTGCATATTCTAGAAACACAGGTATGATTGCAATCTGCATGAAGAGCTTCCTTATTTTGATTCAAAGCACTTCAAGCTGGTTTAAGCCTACCATTTTATTTATTTCACAATAGAAGGAAATATATGCATAGCTAATTGTGCAATGCCTCTAACATGGCTATAGCTATTTAAGGTGGCATTAAACAAGCTATGTTGTATTCATCATTTTCCAAGAACATAACCAGTTTTAAAATTGTATATAAACTGGTGTCTACGTGCCGGGGAACCTTCAAGTAGTAAATATATGAAATTGTGTGGATTACTTTTGAATGCAACATCAGTTCAGCAGAATTTGACAAAAAGTCCAAGAAATTTCCATCCTTCTGTAACAATCCAACAAAAACATACAGGCATACACCTAAATATTGTTAGCCTTTTGAAATGTTTATTTTTATGTATTGAAGCAGGATGGAAATTGCATACTCAAATGAGATGAACTTCTGCAAATTAACCAAGAATGAAAATTATAATTTTTAAAGTGAATATTCCACTGTCTATATATGGGAAAGGGTAAATAATTTTCTAGACTCTGCACTAAAATATAAGAAGCTTCCTGTAAAGCTTTCCTTTATCATCTTAATTTTTATTTAATATTTTGAGAACATTAGATTAAAGCATTCAGTTAGGAAGGAAACTTCATTTCAACATTTCCTCAGTGCTGTTTTCTTTCTAGCTAGTCATTTTAAAGCATCCTGGAAAACTCCATGTACTTTTTCTATATATTTCCTTTGCTATTGTTGTTGGTGAGCATCACGCTGGTGAGAAAATAGCTTGCTTCTCTACAAAAGATCAGCTTGTTTCTCCTGTCTAGTTCCTCTAGTCCTTTCTTTTGAAATAATTCCACATTTGATATATCAAACTCATTGTGATGTTACTGTATCATCAGTGGAACTGGTTATGAGAAAAAGCTGATAAGAAATATGTTGATAAGCTGTTTAGCAGTAGGTGCCATTGCAGTCGTGCTTAGGTGATTGCTTATTATTTGTGATTTGCCTAAATGTGGCACTGTATGATGCAAGTTGGTTTCTTTGCTATGTAGCTATCAAGGATACTTGCAACCACCTATGCTAAAAGAATTTTGTAGAATTAATAATGGTCGTCTTTGTTTATTTTAGTGAATTTCACTACAAAATTTTTGACATAGAGCTGTACTTTTACTGACAAGTAATAGAATGTCAGTGTATACCAGATTATTATAGAAAACAAAATCTTACTGGTTTTAGCAAGGAATACTGCTTGTGGTAGCCATTGTGTGAAACCATGATGTTCCTACCCAATTAAAACTCCTTTTGTTCACATGTATAAAATTGTTCCAAGTAATCAGAAATAAAATCTTATCAGTAGTAATCAAGATATCTTTCTAAAGGTTAAAAAGCAACTGAAAGTTAAATGGCTATCGGTAAAATCTATTATTTTACTGCAAACAGATAAGAGATATGACTCATATGACTGATATGACTGATATGACTCATAAATCTTAGTGTTCAATGGTCATTTCTCATTATTCCTTATCCAATTCATAGTTATATATTTTTAAAATAATTCAGTTATATTGTTTCACATCGAGATTTGATTTTCTGTTGTTTGGGGTGCCGCCTTCCATTTAGAAAATCCCTGAGCTCCCTAGGAGCTGGAAGAATATTTTAGAGAAGAATCACTTCATGTTTGCCCTAGTTTTTATGCTGTTCCATAGGCTAACAAGCATCTACTACTAACCACTGTTGAAGACAGAATATTGGGCTAAATGGACCTTTTTTCTGGTCCAGTACAGCTATTTTTATGTTCTTAGAATTTTCATGGATCTTCTTACGTAGATAAAAATCTGCCCACACTGATCATTTTGTGACTAATCTTTTTGGCTTGTAAATGTCATTATGCATAAGAACTTCGTCTGAAACATTTCATGGAAAGACAACATATCATCATAATACCATCAAAATTAATAAGGTCATTGTGTAAGAGAAATTACACTTCTGGATTTAAATTTTAGATACTTTAGATGTTGAGATATTCTAGGATGAAGACGTAATGTAAGAAAGGAAAGCTAATGGTAGTGTTATCTTTCCCAAGTCATTTGGCCAAATGAAGCCTTTGGATTACAGATTTCCCAACCTGGGGCTTAGGAAAGAAAATAGCAATATTCTCTTCCGAAGAGAAGAGCTAGTACCTGTGTGTATATTTTTATTGCCTTGTGTAAATGAATAACTGAGATTAACAAGACATCTTACAAGAGATCTTACCTACACAGCCAGGTTCAGTGCCAGCTGTCCTAACCAGAAAGCATATCTGGAAATTTGCCTCCAAGCGAAAAATTAGTCTCTTAATATTAGGAAAGGTATGGAAATCAAAATATTTTTTTCCAAGTATTAAGATAATTAACCCTAGGGATGTTAGCTTGATGTGGCCAAAAGTGAGCCTTTTCCATAAATGTTATATAGACTGTCTTTGGTAAATAACACACAACATGAGAAATTACAGGCTGCAGGAGTTCAAATCAGTATGGTACGGCTCATCAGCAGCTCAAGTTAGGCAAAAATAGAGGAGATTTGTAATTCATGGAATAAAAATCCATCAAAGTCTGTTCAGGAGAAGTGTATCAGCTGTGGCTTAAGAAGTTCCTGAGCCATAGTGTTCTGGAGCCTGGGAAAAGTATAACAGACGGTGTACGTCTGCCAGCTTTCTATAGTCTTCCAAAGGTTATTTTCTACTGGCTGTTGCTGGCAACAGGGACCCTGAGATAATCTGTTGGTCTAATTCAGATTAATTGTTTTTATATTCTAAAATCACTAGGTGTATATTTATTTTAAAGTGTGTCGATATGTGTGTATATAAAGTTTGGCATCAAAGCTTTTAAACAAAAAATGTGTATTTGGAATTCTTTAAAAAGAATTTAAAAAGGGAGATTGCAAGTATTAAAATGTCGGTAATACATCAAGTATTTTTCTTTGCTAATTCATTATTTTATAGATTTAGGATTACCTTGGTTTTTTTTTTTATTATTTATTTTAAGCATTGCATGATATAACTTGCAATTTATTTTTCTGAAAACAGGTGATTTTATAATAAACCTATAAAATCACACATTTTTTATAAAAATGTGATGCTCGCTACATCAGAAAAATATTACTGCATGCTGCCCTGTATTTTGTAACCTTTGGTTTATGCAGGAATATGCTGAATTTCAGTATCGGAGGAGGCATAGACAGCGTCGACGTGGAGACATGCACAGTCTGCTGAGTAATACTCCGGATCCTGATGACCCCAGTGAGAGTACATTAGGTATGTTCCTGCCTGGGGCTGTTTTTTGAAGTAGTCTCTTCCTACTTCAGAAATTGCTAGTAGTGACCACAGTGTTTGTTCTTCTGTGGATGCACTTTAAAGAAGTTTCACATACATTGCTATATTTTGCAGGATACAACATAAAAGCTTATTTTCGTATGTGATCTCCCCTAAGCCTTCTTTTCTCAAGGCTGAGAGAACTGGGTTTGTTCAGCCTGGAGAAAAGAAGGCTTAGGGGAGACCTTATCACCATGTTCTAGTATTCAAAGGGTGGCTACAAAGAAGATGGAGACTTCCTTTTTACAAGGAGTCACATGGAAAAGACGAGGGGTGACAGGTACAAGTTACTCCTGGGGACATTCTGATTGGACATAAGAGAAAAATTTTTCACAGTGAGAACAATCAGTCATTGGAATAATCTCCCCAGGAAAGTGGTGAATTCTCCAAGGTTGGACACTTTTAAGATTCAGCTGGACAGGGTGCTGGGCCATCTTGTTTAGACCATGCTTTTGCCAAGAAAGGTTGGATCAGATGATCCTTGAGGTCCCTTCCAACCTGGTGTTCTACAATGATTCTATGAAGTATTGCTGACTTCATTGTGGCTGCTCCTCTTTTTAAAGAGAAATGCATTGATCTTGCCACTAATGACTCCTCAGCTATTTAGAGCAGGTTTGCTTTTCTGAAGAAATTTTGAAGAGCACATACTTCATATAACAGTCTTATCTGTATACCAGCTCTTTTATGCCAATTAAAAGGACCAGTTCTGCATAAAGAGTGTAGAAGAGGGTTCCCCTGCTACAGGCTGCTGGAAGATAGTCATAAGGCTGTATTCCAAAACCCTGCTCAGAAACTCCTGCATTGGCAAAGACAGCCAGGAAACAAGTTGGCATGTGCTACAACTTCCAGCCTGCTGCTCTTCTAAGCAGTGCTACGGCTGGTAGCACAGTTGCTTAAGGTCACTGTAACTTGGCTGTCTGGGCTGTCTCCATTCTGCCAGGAGCTTTTGCAAAGGTACAAAAATAGCTCAAATCCAAATCATACTATGACGCTGTTTCTTCAGAGCTGCCAGTTGTGTGCTTGGTCTCTAAACCATGCTGCACAAACTCTCATCTCTGTGTCTCATGAACTTAAGTCCTATACATAGCTTGTCCTTTAAAAACAAAAGGAGAAATCCTTTACTGGGGAGAAACAAACAAATGCATTCTTTATTTTAGAAACAGTAAAAATAACTTTGGTGAGCTTTGGTCCTTCCCTATTACAAGTAAAATGCAAAACCATCTTGTTAGTTTGAGGGCTAGAATTTGACTGAACACCTGGATATTATAGTGATGACCAGTGCATGCAAGAGAGAATTAGTTTGTCTCACCTTATTTCATTTTGAGTTTTGAAGTGGAAAATTCCATTTTCCAAAGTCAAGAGAGTTACATTTATTTCTATTACAGAGCAATTTTTTCTGGAAACAGCATTTTACTTCTATTTTTTTGTTGCTTGTTTTAAGAAAACAGCAATGTCAGTGATTGCTGAGGTATACACTGACGACTCTGCTCTTAATTGTGCTGCAATGTTACGGTAAAAATTATGGCAAACTTTGGTTGTAATCCACCTGTAAATGCATCCTGTATTGTGTCCATGTGCAGTATTTTTCAGGACTTTCCATAAATCACGTATGTGCCTTAGAAGCACTTTGCCCCTCCTGCCAACGGGCTTATGCTCCTGATGGCATACCCCATTCTTTCAAAGAGAAGAAGAAGGGAACTGAGAGCTGAAAGGCACAAATGAACCAGGCACTCCTAAAACAGTGGGACTCGTGTTTTGCCACTGTGTAAGAGTTGGTGTGGAAGGAGTGTTTTGGATTATTTCATTCAGAGTGAATAAAGGAGTAAAATTACACAGCTGGAATCCAAAAGGAAGGAAGAGATTCTGTCAGTAACTAATAGTGGAGAAGGCTTCCTCACTGGTTCTTCAACCATTTTTGTTTCAATTGCCCAAACAGACACTCAGGAAGGTGGCAGTAGTAGAAGACATGGCACCTCCATGGTGAGTTCAGCTTCTATGGGTATTCTGCACAGCTCTTCGCTTCATGACTATACCCCTGTCAGTCACTCTGAAAACCAGGATTCTCTTCAGGTATCTCCCCTAATCTCTTTTCCATTCTCTCTGCTTTGCTTGCCTTCCTCTGCTCTGCTTTTCTGTGTCATTTTGTCTCTCTGCAAATTTTCTTAATTCTTCAATGAGAAAGGGAGAATCTAGGACAACAATTATACATTCACACTGGTAAGAATTGCTAAACTATCACTAATGTAACAATAGTCACCTTTTAAATTCTGTTGTCAACTGTGTCAGTAAAAAGTGATTCTGATAAATGAAATGTAGGAATAATGAATGAATTTCAGATTTGAGCCCAAATTACATTTAATCCAAAATATGTACAAGACGAAAGTTTTATTCTGAAAGCAACCTTATGTATTTCCACAGGCTCTGAGTTCTTTGGATGAAGATGACCCAAACATCCTGCTAGCTATTCAGTTATCATTACAAGAATCTGGCTTGGCCATAGATGAAGAAACTAGAGACTTTCTAAATAATGAGGCATCTTTAGGAGCAATAGGTACCTCTTTGCCTACAAGATTGGACTCTGCTCCCATAAGTATAGATAACCCAAGAGGCGCTTTGAGCAGCTCTGAGCTGTTAGAACTTGGTGACAGTCTGATGAGACTAGGTGCAGGCAATGATCCCTTTTCAGCTGATCATCTTCATTCACACCCCTGCAGCGATACAAGAAGTGGCTTATACTCAACATCTAGTGATGCTGATTCCAGCAGTCAAGATCCCAATACCAATGAAAATCTACTTGGAAATATTATGGCCTGGTTTCATGACATGAACCCACAGAGTATTGCTTTGATCCCCTCAACAAGTACAGAAACGGATGAGGATTCACAGCAACCCAGTACTGAAGATGGGTCAGCAGGGCAACCAAATCTTATAGACACAGGGCTGGAGCCTCAGGAGGAGCATGCACTATTTGAGGATGCACTCAAAAACGAAGGCAGAGGAACACAAACAGAGGAAAGCACTTCTGAAGAAAACATTATTCCAGGTGAAATGGTGTCACAAAGTGGTGATAGTAACAGGGAGGTAACAAGAACCCTGGATGCTTCAGGAGATACTTCAAGTCAGACTCCTCAAACCTCAAGTGAATGGATTGAACATGTGCATCTGGTATGAATAAAAACTAAATCTGGAGTAAATGAATGGCGGTGACAGATGGTACAGTATGTGGAGTAAGCATTATGGAGGCTTTGATCCACATCATTACAGCTCAGTTGTAACCACTGACGTAACAACAGATATTTAGGAGTTCTCTTGAATTGTAGTTCTTTATAATAATGTGAACCTTTCAAGGAATATCCTTTGCATTCAATTAGGTAGTACTTGCCTTTTTGCTCTCAAGAAAAAGGAATAAGTAGGTTGTATTCCACATTCCTAATACAATGCAGCATCTGTTTAGCCTTAGGTTGATGATCCTTAACTTGAAAGTACGGATTAAAGGCTTACACTGATTATTTTGGTTGGTTTTCCTAAGAAATAGTTTATTCCATTTTTTAGAACTCATTCTTTCACCAAAATAACATTTAGCAATTCATTTGCATATTGTTTTTGTTTTCCATAACTTTTCCTTACTCGTTTTTCATTTTTGTTAGCAGTGTGAACAGAGGTGTTTAATGCTTCTCTTTAGTACTGCTCCAGGAACAAGTTTTAGGGGATATTCTTTCCCACTAAAATCAAAGATTTTTTCATGTCTATTTACAGTCCAAATGTGCCAAACTGTGAATAGTTAGCTGGCAGTAGCCTAAAAAAACAGTGCAGTGTTACTCTATCAAACTAATCCCAGAATTCTTAGCAGTGAAAGAAACCACTGGGTAGCATTGCTTCTCTAAATTTAACTGGCATGTGTTGCCATGGTGACTGCATTTAATTAAATGTAGCCTGTATCTTAAGTTAATAAAACCTAATGCTGCTGTTAAACAGTTATTTTAAATATTAAAATACAGTGAGTTAGCAACAGCTATGCTGTATTTTAAGAGACACTTTAATGGAAGTGCAATCATAGTTCTTTGTTTTCATAATTCTACAAAGCATTCTATGCACTAATAGTGCAATTACTTTTAATGATAACATTTTATAAAAATATAGGAATACTGAATTTTCATATATTAGCCAGTCCCACAATTAAAGTTCGGATAACACATTCTGCTCAACATGTTATGGTGCCTTTGCCTAACCCAACTGGATAGTTGCCACAGTTAAACAAGTAATTCAAATTCCGTGTCTGTTCTGGAGTAACTATGCTATTAATTGCAAAGACCTCCATAAAACCACCCATGGCCTTGCCTTTACAGTAAATAACTAAATGTTCAGTCAGTGTTTTTGCATAAACAAAACACTGCTAGGTATTTGTTCAATTGCACAATATTCATTTGCTGTGTGATTACTGTTTAGTGTGAAAAAAAAAACTAAAAAAAAAAACAAAAAAAAACCCCACAAAAACCCTTTTCCTAGTTGTTGTACCGTGAAAAAAAAAAACTGGTTTTAGATTTGCTTCAAAGCATCAATCTACAGTTAGTGAGATACAATGGTACAGTATGTAATTACAATTAGAGTAAGTTGTTGAAATGGCTGTTTTAATTACATATAATCAAAACTTGTCATAACACGAGCAAATTACATACACTCCATTTTAAGTTTTGCTTAACTGTTACCAGAGATTAGTTGATATGATATAAAAGTTTATTACTACTGAGTGTGTATAGGCAAGTGTCATGATAGCAAAGTTTATGTATTGATTACTGTGAGTTCAAGTGAGTGTTTTGGTAACTAATTCATGCAAATCCAGCTTTTGAACCTTGCAGTCACAAGGTTCATATTAGTAAAAAATTAAATAAGAATATTTTACCCTTACCCCCTAAAAACCTAGTGCATTTTGCAAGCATCTTTAGAGAGAATGGAATAGAATAGTCTCAAATAATTTTCCAACTTTTCCTCTAGCCGCCCTGCTCCTGACATAATAATGAACCTTTGGACATCTTTGAAAAATACCTATTTTAAATTGTTCTATGGTATAAAATCCTTTAACTAAAACAGTTCTTCATGAACTATCATCATGAATTGGTCTGAAAGTTGTTCAACTCACATAGGTTCCTTGAATTGTCATTTCTGAATAGAAAGATTCTCACAAAGATTGTGTATTGCATTGAGATGTCTTGCAAAGTTACAGTAAGGTATGTAAGAGTGCTCTCTGTGAAGATAGTGAAATTTGTGGGTTCTGGTTTTTTGTAATTTGGTTAGGTTGTGCAGTATATCCATTGTTTCCGTGTTACTCTTACGAGCATGAAATTAGCCTATTAAATTTGTATTTTCTTGGTACTTATTTTAACACCATAGTCATTGACTTTACAATTCAAAAATAAAGTTTCGCAAGACTATTTTGTAAACCTGTTAATTTTATAATGTAAAAAAATTACTCTAACCTTGAATTGTTATTTGCACTTTCATAGTCTATACTTGATACATTCCCACTTTATATACAAGTAGGATACTACAACCATGTAGATGTTTGGCCAAATGAATGCTGTTAATAATATGTAAAATTCTTTGATTAAACATTTATTACTTAAACTAACTCCGTTCTGTCTCATTACATCTTAGACTTAAAACAGCAGATTCTTAAGGCTGATGACAGACATTTTTAGGATATGTTCAGTCCTGTGCCAGATTAGCTGGGGACCATATAGTAAATTGAATGTTTTGATTTGTAAATATAAGGTACCTATATTCATTAAGCTTTGAAAACAAAATCTAAAATAGACAATTTTGTCTTAATTGCTACAGGCGTATTGTGCACTTGTTTTTTGTAGAGAGTAATGCCTTGTCATTACAAATAGTGGTGCTAAAGAGAGTGGGGAAACTAATTTTTGAGGAAGATCCTGTTAATTAGTGTTACTTAAGTGCCACTTAATATCCAGTCTCCATTGTTAGCAGGAAGTTCCAGACTGCCTCTGTTACATTAACAGGCACTAAACTATTATGTTCATTGTTACAGTAATTTAATTACCTTCCTCCAACAAGCATGCCAAGATGCTAGAGAGCTTCTAAAATCTAATGTACAAAGTTGGATTAGTCACTGCAAGGCACTTTCCATCATCTGCTGCTGTGGTGTCACTGCATATGCTGCAATTAGCAAGTACTGAGTTTTACAAAGATCATGAGTATCACAAGAGAGATTTTTTGTTTTATGGCAGCTAGAACATACTAATAGATATACAAATTTAAAACATATTTTCTGAAGTGTTTAAAATCACAACAATATGCTTCAAAATCAGACACCCCCACAGCCCAGTTTCAGAGATCTGTTTATCAAGGCCAATTTCACTATTATCATCTCCTCCCTCTCTTCCCCTCTCCCAGCACACACAAGGCATCCCACTGTAATATTCATGGAGGCTGGTAAGAATGGAAGCCAAACATGGATATAATGATAGCTAGTTTTTTTACTAAAAATTGTCTAGAGAATCTACTCAGACTTAGACAGTATACTGATTATTGTCCTTATTACTCTTCTGTAGATCAGACAGATCTACAGAAACTTGAAAGATGTAGAGAAGCCAGTGATGATGCAAAACTGAGTGTCATTTTTACCATCTCATCCTTTTAACTGAAGAGTAGAGCATAAGATGTGCATCAAAAGGAGGAGATGGATCCTCTGTAAATACTGCATAAAGCTGTGTTTGCTGTCAGTCTTTGTATGAGGGCAAAGAAATGAATGAAGGCTTGACTTTCTGCAATGATATGCTTTCATTCCACTTCAAAAATAGGGAAGTATAGAATTTATACTATTCTCCAAATATATAACCGCATAGAACAATTTAAGTATTTCATAAAAAATTCCTAAAAATAGAGTGGAGTAAAGAAAAAATGTTTCCTAACTTAACTGCAAAGCTCTTTTTTCCTCAACTCTTCGTAGATACGTAAGGTTACATCTCACCAACAAAATGTTAAAGGAATTGCTAACAAGATGGTGTTATTTTAAAATTATGCAGGTCTTGATCTTTACAGAAATCCTTTCTTCAGTGAAATACGAACTTGAGAAGGTGTTTTGCATATATTTTTTCTTTTTAGGTCATTTGCATGAATATCCAGATAAATGGAATACAAAAAAATATTTACTATATCCAGACAGATATTCAGTACTGCAAATATATAATCTTCAGGATTCAGGTTATAATGCTGTTTTCATCCAAGCATAAGTGTCATATCCACCACAAGATACTGGAAAAAAGATGGGGGATTTTGTCTTGAGGTTTTTACATAAGAACTGTTCACTACGTAAGAATGATTTACCTTTACATAAGTGGTTTTAAGGAGTATTTATCAGTTTATGAACCCAGGTGTTTTTCTATGAGCAACAGTGAACATAATTATTCAAATTACTCATCAGTTCTACTTTGGCCACTGCACCTTCTGCTCTAATTATCAGATCAATTTTATTTATAATAATCTATTTGAAAAAAAGGTCTTACTCAGACACTAGCATTTTCACTCTGCAAATGCTACAGTCAGCCTTGCTGTCCACATTTTTTAGCATGGCAGTCCACGTAGCCAACATCATCACCTTTAGGGATACAAACAAACAGCAATGTCATATTCATTAGCCAGCCAAGATTCACTAATGCAATTGCAAAGAATACTAGAATTTATATATGTTATAGCAGAAACCTTTACATTCTGCAATTTAAAAAAAAAAAAAATCTTATTTTGAAATTGGTTGTCTTTATTTTCTGTTCAGGCATCTGGAGTTTGAGGCCCTCCTTCTGACCATGATATCTTTACGTATAATTCAGCAGCAGGCACCCACTTAAAATTCCAGTTCTGGTTTTTGGAGCATATACAGACGGTGTTATTGAGCACAGCAGTCCAAATTCTGCTTGGGTGTAATTTAGCCATCCAACTCCATTCTCTACGATTTGAGATTAATTCTGTCTTGGAAGGCAGAAGAACTTGGTAGACTTGATGGTCTAAGTAAAAACCACATTTACTCTATTTGTACAAAGTGAGCACACTATACATTGCACAGAAAGAAATATCAGGATGTAGACCTCTTTGGTGTATATAATGTTTATTCATTATACAAGGGGGTATGTAAGATACTTGGATGAAGTAACTTCTCCTTGATACACAGCCAGCACTTCCTGCTCCAGGTCTTCTCCAAAATAGTGTTAGAGATTTAAACTAGGTAAGTGGGTGAGATAACACCAGAGATGCACTTTGAATAGACTATCAAAATGCTATACTAAAGACTACTGTTCCCATAGTACATGCCCTGTCTGTAGCTACTGTTAAAAAACCAGAGGACAAAACACTTTTCATAAATGATCTTATTCTGCTCTGTAGACTCACATTGGAAATCTTTACACTGAAACATAATAGCAATTTTTTATGTAAAGAAAATATATCCTCTTACAATTTCCTATTACATTGCTATTTTCATGCCTGTCAGCCCTTCTAAGTTTTGCTTGAGTACAGGGCTTCTGCTGTATCAACACAACACAGCAGTCCAGTTTCATCTTTAAAGAAACTTCAGTCATCTCAGATAAGGATGAGTGTAGTTCTACATTCCATTGTAATAACAAAGTAGAGAAAGGTTGAAGTTCACTAACAGAGCCAGACAAGGAATGAAACAGGGACTGTAGGAAAAATTCCCAGACTAAACCATGGAAAAATATCCTAGGCAAGTTTGAACTGGTTGCAGAATCCAACAAATAATAGATCAATGTGCTGCAAAGCTTCACGGAAAATGAAGACACAATTGTCTCATGTGCTCACAAGTATACTTGCCATTGCAGGATGTCACAAAGAATGCCAAAGGCCACAGGTGCTAAGATCAGAACCAGGAACGTTTCAGGTACTTCAGTGAAGTCCCACTGGAGATAACGAATGAAACTCAGGCTCAGTTTATTGTCTACTACAGCAGGTCCTTTGATAAGTGTATGAAGAGACAAAAAGTCACAAAATTATACCATGAGCCTGCCACCTTTCAGGTGTCTGGAAAGGCTCTAACTACACAGTTCCTCAGAAACAGGGACTCCCCATGTAACATATAGAACTACAGCTATGGAAGGACTTGAACACCGCTTTAAAAAATGCAGCTGAGGCTGCATCAGAAGCAGGGGAGCAGGGATCTGCCTACCCCAGAGGAAAAGTTCATGAAAAAATACTACAATGACAATCCCAAGCAACCTGTTAAGTGCAGCTGGCTGAAAAGGACAAACTTCTGTCATGTTTTTCAAATCCAAGTGTAGAACAACAATAAACTGGCAATGGTAAACAACTGAGGTTGGTTTTCACTTGGTATGAAATCTTATACAACTGGCAGGTCTCCTTTATATATTTCTACTAATTAAATAAAGAAAGAGTCTATGGGATTAACAAGTTAATTTACATGCACAGTGGGAATGTGCATGTGTGCCTTTAGCGAAATTAATTTCCTTAGTCACAGTTAACAGCAGTACCTACTTTTGTCACTAGTGCAAAGAGACATAGCCCCAAAGTCACAAGTGAGGTTGCTCCCAAGGAGCATCAGATTCCATCAGCATCATAAAGGCTAAAAACCAAGCCTAAAGTATTTTTAGTGGCATGCTGTTTAGTTGGGACCACTAATTCAAATTCTGTTCAAAGACTTATGTTAAAACTGCTCCAAGCATTAGATCCTTAAGAACTGTCTCAAATGAAGCAGAAGCAGTAACCTGTAAAGATAACCTGTTAAGCAGAAAGCCTATAGTACCGGATCCCCATTTACAAGAAGAT